CCGGCCTCAGCGCGCTACCCCCCCGCCCTGCAGAGGAACCGGCAGGAGAGGCGTCTGCGGCGGCAGGCCGAGCTGCTGGCCCTGCAGGAGAGGACCCGCCCCCCCCCCCCGCCGCCCCCCCCCGGCGGGCCACCCCCCCCCCCCCCCCCCGCTCGGCCACAGACTCTTTTTGTGGCTCTTTTTTTTAATCTGGTGGCTGGGGATGGGTTCTGTGCTCTTTGTTCACGGCTGATGGCGTTGCAGGTGGAGCCGGGCCGCGGGGGGCACAGCGTATCCACGGCAACCAGCACCCACAGGTGAGGCTCCGGCTCCTCTAAAGCGGCAACCAAAAGCAGGAGCTTCCCGTTTACTCTGTCCTCCAGGAAGCGACATCCAATTAAAAGACGTTTCTTCAGAAAAAATGCGCGTAGTTTAGTGTTGAACGAACAAATTTAATGAGAAAATGAGGAATGAATGTCTTAACCTCTCGTGTAAAAGGAGGTTAGAGGTGGGATTCAGCTTAATCAGAACAGATGTGTGAAAACTAAATGACTGCGTGCCATTATTAGAAAACTAAAATTATGGTCTTTCAGAAATCCCACTTATTGGGACTCTTCGTTCTCTTCTCTCGCTGTTAATGATGAATAATTATCTGCCTCATCAGTGAAATGGAGAGGGAGTAAGTCTAATTTCAGAAAAGGGAACATGGGGAGCCATGAATAGCTCCCAAGGCCAGAATCAGGACCAAAGCCGGCCCGGGACAACGAGACTTCTGAGGAAAAACTCAAACAATCTGTGAAACCGAAATCAGACTCACTTCACTTTTATTTAAATGGCACCAAATCATAACAAATGACATATTTGGGCACTTCAGTGATTCAAACCAGTTCGAATTCGGTTGGCCCTTTATTGGAAACTTTCTCAGAACTCATCTTTAAGTCTACCAGCAGAATCAGAGCAGCACCCACAGACGAATGCATAGTTTCTACAAAAATGATAAGAAAATAAGATTCTACGTCCTGTAAATGTATCAGGATATATTTACTGAATTTCTGTGCCGTCTTGAGCTCCTTTTTCACTCTGATTTGATCTGAGTTTTTGATGTGGAAATCAGTTTTTGTTTCCAGACCTGAGGGTTTGTTTGTTTTTCTCCTCCTCCAGGGGGCGCTCTCCTCCCGTCCCGTCGGTCACACACAGAGTGCAGAGTCAGCAGGACTCCACCACCCCTGCCCCTCCCGTCCTGGACTTCTTCCCTTACGTCCGGACCGACGAGGTCTTTCACCTGGACCCCCTGGAGCCCGCTCACACCCCCCCACCCCCGGACCCGTCAGGTTGGGCCACCTCCCTCCCCCTTTTGCCCTAAAGCCTCTCCCTTTAGCAGTCGGCCTGCAGGAGTCAGAGGACTCAGAGGAAAGGACCAGGGCTCGAGTGGCCAGTTGTAAATCAAACGGCGACTCTGAATCCTAACTGCAGCTGACCACATGGGGCTGCTTTTTTTAATATTGATAAAATGTGTCTTTTAGATTTAGACGATTCGAAAGAAATAAAAAACTGACAAAACTGGTGCCACAGTTAGATTTATTCAACTTTCTTTTCTCATCTTGTTCTGAACTGTTAATAATCACCGTGGAGGTGTTTGTTAAAGGGAGAAAACAGGAAACGTGTGAGTCAACGGAAACAAAACCCACGTTTTAGTAGCGTCCGTCCCTGTGAGGCAGTGGCAGACTTAAAAATAAACCTTCTCCCCGGTTTCTTGCAGCTCCCCCTCCTCCTCCTCGGGGTCCGGCGGCCCCTCCGGCCGCTCCTCCCCGGGACCGGCTGCTCCGGCCGGAGCGGCAGACCCAGCGGCAGCAGGAGATCCTCAGAGGCCTGGCGGAGCTGCGGCAGGTGAGGCACAACTCCACCTGGAGGAACCCTCAATAGCATGCTAACCAAAAAAAAGACTAATTTACGAGCAACTCATCCTCAACTCCTGAGGCGTTTTGCATTCAGCTGGAAATCTGCTGGACCAGAGGCCTTTACAGGAGAACCAACTCCAACTAAAACCCAAAAGTAAAATGGTTATTTTTTGTTCTTTCTCTTGGTATGACATTTCAAGAGGTCAAATTTATTGTGAAACGACTAAGATCCAGTTCCCGCAGAGCCCGTTAACAAAGCTTTTTCTAGCTAGTGGCCCCGAATCTTGTCTTAGATCCAATCCTCCATCCTGACCACACACGAGTGTGTGGGCAAAAAAAACCTTCCCTTTGAACAGGAAGAAAGTTTGATTAGAACCAGGAAGAGCGGTCATCTGCCTGGAAGCAAGAAGGCAGTTCTAGGAACCAAGTGTTGTCTTTTTTCCAGTGAATGCAACACGCCACTGCATGAATTCTGTAGTTGAATCCAAACATCTCCGGGATCGTAAAAACCCGATCAGAGCGTGTTTGTCTGAACGTCTGCGTGTGTTTTTAGGGGTTGCTGCAGAAGCAGAGGGAGCTGGAGACGGATCTGAACCCTCTCCTCAATCGCCATGACAACAAGCAGCGGCCACCCACGGCGACAAATCGCACATGAGAGCGGGAACGGTACCCTCATCATGCCAACCTGGGAGGAATGCTGAGGGGGGGGGGTGGGGTGCACATGCTCTTTGATTATTTATTTTCCATTTTTATCAAGAAAAATTCAACTGAAGTCAAAGCAAAGATGGAAACGGCAGAAATACGGCCAACGCCCCCCTCTGTGGACAATAGGGGTGTCACAGAACCGAGCCGGGCTTCGTCTTTTACATGAAATCATGGATTCACGTCCTGAAAACAGAATCTCCCCGCCTGCTCACAGTGAAGGGTTTCTACCTCGCCAAACGTCCGAGCACGTCTCTGTAGGCGTGTTTTAAACTTTCTAAGAAAAAAGACTCTGGGTCAGACTGGAACAAAAAGCTCACAGAGAATCTCTGTAGACCTGATTCAATCACGAGTGAAAGAGGTTTTAATTTAAAGTCAATGAATAAATTATGTGAGATGTGTTGAGGCTGGTTGTTTTTGATTTATATTTCCAACTCATTCATTTCTGCTCCGGAATTTATCACTCATTTCAGCTTGAGCGCATCAGGAAATAACAAGACTTTACTGATTGCTCCTCGATCAGTAAATCCAACTTCAAAATAAGAGGAGGGGATCCCCTGGAGAATCCTAAATAATTTTGGATGCTCTGAAACTTCAGGCCAGCCGAGCTCTGGCCGTCCTCCGGCAGGAGATCCAGAAAAGCTCCGGTCAAAGGTTTTGTTTTCTCAGTTATTTTAATACAAAAAACTTTACGTAAAAAGAAAACAAAACGTTTTTAAGTTAAAAGCGGTTTCATACAGAGTCTCTTTCTACATACAACAGTGACTGAACACAAACAGCTCCCAGTTCCACAAACAAAACCAGTACAAAGATTCATTTTTTACAAGAGCTCCACTGGAAGATGAGATCACCAAACGATTCTTGACCAGAACCTTTTCTTTAAATCTGTCCTCAGTTTCTGATGCCAGAAAACATCCTGAACATGAAATCCTTACCCGAAACCGTAAAAAAAAAAACACGGTTGTGGTGCGTTTGAGGTCAACTGAAGATCTTCTTTGCGATGGGTTAAAATACAGAGGTCTGACCGGACCTCCTCTGACCGGCTCAGTGTGTTTAGAGGTCAGCAGGAATGAGCATTAAGCGCCTTTTCTCAGTCACACTGAGCACCTTCTGACCCTCACTGTGGCCGGTGGGGCTGCACCGGCTCATTTTCTAACATTTCAGTCACTCGGTAGCGAACAGAACACAGAATCCAAGCTCCCAACGCAACGCAGCGTTAAAGGTTCGATAAAAACAGACAGATTATTGGCAAATTAACGCTGTGTGTGTGTGTGAGACACAGGTAAAAAGAAAACTAACTAAACCTCTCCGTGCGTTAGTGTGTTCCTCCTCTCTCTCTCCGGACCCCCAGAGAGAGAGCGACGGTGCATTCAATGGACGCTGTAAATCTAACCGTTTAGAATGCTGAGGCACCGATCCTGAAGTCCCTGAACGCAGCACCAACAGGGATCCCAGGACTTCTCCTGCAGCCCCTGAACGCAGCACCCACAGGGAACGGCTCCCCTTCTCCTACAGCCCCTGAACGCAGCACCCACAGGCACTGCTCGCCTTCTCCTGCAGCCCCTGAACGCAGCACCAACAGGGACCGCTCGCCTTCTCTAAATTAAAATAATAAACGTGTAATGTTTCTGTTTCCTGAGTGACTGAAATGTCCCGTTGGATGGGGGGGGGCCATAAAGTTCCAGCTCCCGTCTGGGGGGGGGGCGGCCCCCCCTACATCCCGTTGAAGCCGCCCCCCCGCCGGCCCCCCCGGTACACGCCTCCCGGCCCAGCGGGGCTGTAGTACCCTCCTAAGAAGTCCAGGCCGCTCTGCTGGAACCCCCAGACCACGGGGGCCCCCGGGGGCCCCAGGCCTCCCGGGCAGAGCGGGGAGGGGCCCAGCAGGCCCCCGATGCCCCTCAGGGGGCCCAGCGGCCCCAGGATCTGCCCCGGGAGGAAGGGCTGCGGGTGGAGGTGGGCCAGGTGGGGGGGGTGGAGGAGGCCCACGCCCCGCGGCTGGCCCAGGGCCGGGACCCCCAGCGGGACCCCCGACAGGCCCCCCGGGTCCAGGGGCTTCTGGGCGGAGCCGGGGTCCAGCTCTCGGCCCGTTATCACGCCCATTCTGGCCGCCGGCGCTGGTTTGGCGTCTCCGGCTGAGCTGCTGCTGGGGGGGGGCACGTCAGCCGGTTTGGGCTCTTCCCTGGAAAACAGAAAAACACACAAAGGAGCCGTCAGACATCAGAGAGTTTGTGTTTCAGGCGTTTTCACCGTCAAAGCCGTTTGTCTCTCTCCAAAGAGCTAAATGAGGCAGAAGCTCATGGCTCGATAATGTCTCCAGTGTCTTCTGAGACATTTATGTTACGTTTGTTTCTGCCTTTAGTCGCTTTCGTCCAAAGAGACTCACAAAGCAGACGCAACGTTGCAGTTATCGTCAATCTGACAGTCAGCTCTCTGGAGGAAAACCCCAGTCAGAGTCAGAGGAGAGAGGAGGGAAGCTCAGAAAGAGGAGTAGAGGGTCCAGAGGTCTGGAGGAGTTAGGATGGGAAATGCTCTGTGGAGAGGGGGGTCTGCAAGAGTTTATGAGGACAGACAGGGACCTGCTGCTCTGGTAGCTCGTTCCTCCATCTCAAAGCTGATTTTTGGGGCTTTAAAGTAGTTTTTTGGGCTTCAATACTGTTTTGTGGCTTTAAAGCATTTTCTGGGAGCCTTTAAAACTGTTATTAAGGGCTTTTATTTTTATGCTTATGTTAAGAGAACCCGAACCCTTAAGCACTTTGTGGACCAGCATCAGGGAGTTGGGTTTGATGCGGGCAGCCGGGGGTAACCGGGGGTAACCAGTGAAGCTCAGTGAACAAAGGGGGGGACGTGAGACTTTTTGGGCTCATTGAAGACCAGACGTGCCTCCACGTTCTGGATCATTTGTAACGGTTTTTACCGTCCAGTTTAAAAACTCATTTCTCCAAAGAACTGAGGTGTGTAGCTAAAAACGAGGTTACATGTAGTTAGTTGTGGGCCTTTAGATGAACAGAGAACAGAGATAATAGCATGTCAGGTAACAGAGAACGGAGTCGGAGTGGGATAATGGCCCGTCAGGTGTTTGTTTGTGTGGATCTCAGCCGGGGACTCACCTCTGTCTCCCCCCCTCTGCAGAGCTCCCTCGTTTAGCTGCCAGAGGCCCCTCCGGTTCCCCCCCCCGGGCCGCCGCCGTTTTCCCGCCACCGTCGCTCTCCGGCTCCGTTTGGAGGCTCGGTCCCGTCACCGCGGTGACCGTCGGGCCGGACGACGGGCTGTTGCTGACTGCCCGGCTCCCCGCCCTCTCCCTCTCCCTCTCCCTCTGCTCGCCCCCGTTTCTCCCCGCTCCCTCGGTCCTGGGCGGGGCGAGCTGGGCGGGGTGGGGGTGGTGGGGGGGGCCCCCCCCCCTCAGGTCGGCCTGCAGCTCCAGCAGCTGCTGCTGCTGGCGCAGCTGCTGCAGCTTCTCCTGCCGCTCCGCCCGCAGGTGGCGGATGGCCTGCTGCAGGAACTCCATGTCCCGGCTGGTGGCCAGCGGCCGGCCGTCCGGGCACGGGGGGTCCGGCACCAGCTGGTCGGAGGCGTGGGGGCCGGGGGGGGGGCGGCCCGTGCTGAGGCTGGTGGGTGGAGGAGAGGTGGGGGGGCTCCGGGAAGGTCGAGGGGAAGAATTCGGACCCCGAGACGGCGTCTCCCCGACCGGGCTGCTTCACCACACCTGCGGACAGAAGCCAGCATCAACTCCAGTCCTGTTTGAGGACTTACCGGATTTTCCATATTATAAGGCGCACCTTCAACGAAAAGGCCAATTTTTTAAATGTTTTCATATATAAGGCGCACAGAGTAGAAGGGGCTGCGTTATGCATCCCATAGACTAAAGAGAATGTCAACAATACAGATGAGTCAACCAAAAAGTTTTGATCGCGTAGAGGAGGGGAACTTTTCCCCGATTCGGTAAACGCGTAAAATAAACCGTCCGATAGTGTTACGGTGAATCAAATGTTAGTGTATCGCAATATAGGAGCTCTCGAAATAGTGCAAAGCAACAACAATACAACAATAACTCAACGTTGTTCAAACGTTGATGTCCATATTCCCATTATGACCAACCTTGTTCGGCGGAATTAAATTAAATTAAATGACAACGGTACGCTTGGCGGTCACATATCCCAGCATGCACCATGGCGCACCTTGTTCTACGGGAGAAAATGGAGTCGGCGGCTGCTTCCCGTAGTAGCGAGACCTGTCGCGGCTCAATCTTGATCTCAATATAAGATGCATTGTCGTTTTTTGAAAAAATTGAAGGCTTTTAGGTGCGCCTTAAACGGCAGAAAATACGGTCGTCTGAATTATGAGCAAACGTTTAGCCGCCAAAGCGACTAACAAAGTAGACCGAATGTTCCAGCTATCATCAATTTAAAAGCAGTCGTTGCTTTCTGAGTGACAGAGAAAGGCCTAAACGGGGGTGGGCTGACCTTTGGGGGCCAGCAGGTCCTCCACCAATAGCTGCTTGTCCCTGACGCTGTGGCAGCCCACTAGCCGGCTGAAGCTGCCCAGGATCTCCTCCACGCCCGCCACGATGATGCCCCGGTCGGAGAAACCGGGGAACATGTCAAAGGGATGCTCTGCGTTTCGGGAAGGAAGAAAAAAAAAAAAAGTGAGCTGCAAAGGAATGTGTGAAAAAGGAAGCACCGCGTTCAGCGTTCCCGGGATTAGAGACACATGGATTCTCCGCTCTCAGTGGATTTAAGGGGTCGGCATTCTGAATCCACATTTTGTACTTTTTTATATGTATCAAATAGAGTTTTGGGCCTGCTCGGATGTTCAGGGAGTCGCTGATGGAGGCTTTTAGCGCCTCCGACCTACCGGTGAGGAGGACCGTGTGTCGGAACTGGCTGTACCGGGCCTGGTGCTCGATGAGACAATCCAGATCTGGCGACTGGTGGCTGTTCCTGTCGCAGCGATGGTAGGGCAGGAACTCCACGACCTGCCGCTTCTGATAGGCCGACAGCAGCTCCAGCAGGTTGGCGGCATCTCTCCGGAACCTGAGGACCAAACCAGCACATCGCAGCAACCGTGAAGCGAAACCTGCTGATGAGTGGAAGCAAGGGGGCGTAAAACTGCTGCCGTCAGGGGGTCTGACCGCCCGGGGCTAAAGGGCAGGAGAGCCGCCCAGCCTGTGCGGAGTGGAAGTCTTTAAATATGGGAAAGAAACACATCGTGGAAAATGTCCAGGTCCAATTCCAGAACACTGACATCCAAATAAATTCAGCTTAACATGGAAATATGCCAGTTTTTAATGCAAAATTTGTTCATTTTAGGAAAGCTGGACCTGGTTATTCTGATCTTCTAGTTTGAGGCAGTGGGTTTGAAGACGTGAGCGTTTTCTGGGTGAGGAACATTTCGCCGCCGGCTCACCTGGCTTGCTCTTTCAGTTTTTTGTGCGTTTTGCAGTGAATCTTCCACCTCCAGACGCTCTCGGGGGAGCTGTGCTGTTCCAGGAGCGTCAGAAGGGCCGCCAGGCGTTCTGCGGAGCAAAGGCGCCGTTACACGTCTGCCCGGCGGCCTGCGGCCAGACGCCGGCGGTGGCGGCCGGACGCCGGCGGTGGCGGCCGGACGCACTCACCGAGGCTGACGGCGCCGGGGCTGAGCAGCAGCTCGTCGGAGAGCACGCAGCCCCCGGACACAAACAGCTCGATGCAGCTGCTGTTCCTGACGTCGTCCGGCGAGTCCACGCCCACAAACACCACCGAGGGGTGCCGCTTCAGGGCCACGAGGCCAGGGATCTGACACACACACACACACACACACACACACAGGCTCACTTTGGCTGGCCGGTGGGGACATGAACCAGTGGGGAGCAGCAGAGGGTTAAATATCCTAATCCTACTTCTACCCCCCCCCCACAACTCCTTCTGTAGTCCCTCTACCTCTATCTCTATCTCACCACTGACTCTGATCAGTGTTTCTCCTCTGTATAGCTTATCGTCATAGTGATGAGAAATGTAATATTGTGTCTACTCTGTAAGTCACTTTGGATAAAAGCGTCTGCCAAATGCATAGACATAAACATAAACATAAATACCTGGTGCACGTGTCCGGCTACGTCCTTGTTCTTGATGATGACCAGGAGCCCGTTGTCGGAGGCGTCCTGCAGGAGGAACTCCTCGGGGCTCTGCTGCACGTTGCCCAGCCTCAGCAGGTGTTCCTGAAACACACACGGCGCGTTAGCGGCTGCTGCTTTGCTCTTTTTCTGGGGGGGTCCGGGGGAGCGGCCCGTCCCCGTACCTTGACCTCCTCGCAGACCCGGTCTCCCGGCTCGGTGCAGTGGATGTAAAACTGCGGCGACTTCTTCTTGATGTCCTTCATGATCTCCGCCAGGTTGTTGAGCACGTCGGGCTCCAGCTGGTTGATGACGGAGTTGAGGGCGGTGGCCGAGGGCCCGGGGCTGGCGGCGGACTCGGGGGCGGAGCTCAGGCCGGCCGCCGGGTGGACGGGCGGGGGGTCGGACGCGGGGAGGGGCGTGGCCCCGAGCTCCGAGCTGCCGGGCGGCGGGTGGGCGGAGCCGGGCGTGGAGGTAGGAGTGCTGAATGTGGTGTGCGGGGTTGGCGAGCTCCTCCAGCCTCCTGCGGCGGCTGACGGCGTGCGGCCGGCGGACGCCTCCTCCTCTCGCCCCGCGCCGCCGTTCGCCGCTCGGACGCTGGCCACAAAGTCGCTCACGGAGTTGGCCAGCGAGGCGTCGGCGTCCGGCCGTTGGGCGTCCGGCCGTTGGGCGTCCAGCCCGGCCAGCAGCCTGCGGATGCTGGCCTGCAGAGAGCTCACGTAGTCCTGGACGGAGGGGCTGGCGTTGTAGAAGGAGACGTACTGGGAGAACTGGGACACGGGTGTGTACGGGAGCGCGTGCTGGGGCTCTGGGGTGGCGGGGGGGGCGGGGGGGGGCTGCGGGCGGCTGTAGAGGACGCTCTCCTCCTGCAGGAGGCGCTGCAGCTCGCAGGAAAAGTCTCCCAGGTGTTTGTCCACGATGCTGTCGATGTCTCTGCGAGGACAGGGGGCCGAGCCGGCCGGGGGGGGGGCGAGCGGGACGCCCTCCTCCGGCTCGTTCTCCTCCTCCTTTTGGTCGCTGTCACTGGATAACACGATCACCAGATCGTCCCGCTCCTCATCGGCCTCGGCCCGCCTGCGCTCGGCCTCTCTGCCCTCCCTCAGACGCCTGTCCAGCACCGCTTGTCCATCAGCCTCCTTTAGTCTTTCGGTGGGGGCTGATGAGGGTCTCGTCCTCTGTTCTGCAGCTGGAGGCTTAGATGGATGGACAGAGGTGCCCACAACGGGATCCTGTCTCTTTGTTTGACTGGGAATTCCTAAAAGGAGACATATTGTGTTAGACAGGCCTCACATTACACACGACTGAAGCAGCTGTTATGTTTGCAGTTGATGTGATGATTTCAAATTTGCTTTGCCGGGTAAGAAAAGCTCTAATTATTAGCTATAATCAGGTTAGAGTCAACTGTGACTGTTAGGTCGAGCTCTCAGGTGGTCGGAGCATATGGGTACATCGGTAAAGCTACGATCTGACGCCCTCTCCAGAAAAGACTTTTGTCCCTCCTTGAAAATGAACATTTCCACCACAGAACTCCTGCCTGCTGTCGAGTAACTCGTATCGAAGAGCAGAGAGCAGCCGACAAACAAGCTAAACCCAACAGTGGAGACTTGAACGGAAGGTTCTAAAGCTAATTTCCTCTCCATTGACAGTTTTAATTGAAAAAAAATCATCAGGAGATTTTTCTTTTTGATCTAGCGTTGAATGACAGAGGCAAATAAGCAGATGGGATTACGCAGGAAAATGAACAGACTGAGAGGGTTGCTGATTACCTGGAAACTCCCTGAGGGCCGGGGAGACCAACTGATGCTCATTAGCACCGCTGTGGTTTCTGTTGCGTGGGTCGAGCTGGTTTAGCTCCAGAGACCGGGGGAGTGACGGAAGAGCGCTGGTCTCAGGTAACAAACGCTGAGCGGAGGAGGTGGGGGGGGCGAGCTGTCGGGACGGGGACCGGGAGGGCGACGGGGCTGGGCTGGGCTCCGGGGACGGGCACTGAGACGGGGAAGGGGGGGGGCTAGGCTCAGGAGATGGACACTGGGAGGGTGAAAGGGGTGGGCTGGGGTCAGGTGACGGGCACTGGGAGGGGGAGGGAAGAAGACAGCCCTCGGGGAATGGAAACTGATACGGGGAGGGAGGAGGACTGGGCTCAGGAGACAAGGTGGGGCTTTTCCTCAGAGGCTTGGTCGTTGTGGAGATGGCTGTTGCCACGGCGAGGTGCTGGAAACGGGGGTCCAGGGGGATGTTCTTGTCTCTCTGGGAGTACCTCTCTGAGCACAGACCTGCAGGAGTGCGACAGAGCTCTGATGTTAGCGCGGCTTCTGGATTAAATATCTCACCCCTTCTAAATTCTGGATCTCTGACACACGGTAAATAAGTAAGTCCTTTCATGTCAGGACATAAACCCTATATCTCCCCTTCGTTTCAATAGTTTCCCTTTGAGGTTTGTATACACACGAGTGAAAAACATACAAAGACTACAGACAGAGAAAGAACTCTTGTGACACAGCTGTCCACGCTGTGCTCGGATGTGGAGGAGGTTAGCAGACCTGTTATGGGGATGAGGACCCACGGGATCTCCCACTCCTCCTCCGGCTCTTCATTAGCCTCAGCTCTCCTCCATAGCCCCCCTCCTCTCCTGCCTGCTGCTCCGTGTTGACCCGCGTCCCCGCTTTGTGAACCAGGACTGAATCCCTCCAAACTACTGATGCTTCCAGCCGTCTGCTCCTTCACACACACACACACACAGACAGACACACATACAGGTTACACACACACACAGACAAACACACAGGTTATACAGGGACAGGCCTCATTTAATTACATGGAGCAGGCTGTATGGGAGGTTCAGTTACTAAAAACAGTTTATACTTTGTGCAGTGTCTGAATATTTTTTAGAAAACTCAATATTTTCACTTTTGCTAATAATATCAACAATAATATAATAAATTTGATCATTTTGGATAGTAATCAAATATAATCTTCAATATATATATTTCTTTTTTCTTTCTACAGTGTCATCATGCCTTCAGTGTTTAATCAAACCTCTTCCCAGGTAACACCCACTGAGTTATTGTTTAACTATTATCGTGAAAATATCTTTCATCAGTAATAAAGGTTGTAGAGTGGAGGTATAAAACTATCTTCCATGCGTTTCCTTTTCGTTCAAAGTATTTTAAACCAAAAGCAGGTTACCTCCAGCTCCTCTTGCTTCCGTAGGTCAATGTCACAGTTGGTGGGCAGGCCCAGCTTTGTGGCCAGTTTACCGAAGGGACTCGAGTCCATCAGTTTCTCCTCTTTGGCCTCACAAAGATTCTGATTGGCCGCCTGGATGAGTCCTGAGGTTTGGGCAGAGAAAATAAGAAAATTTGTTGGAGTTGCAGTTTTGTTTGTGCAGCAAGGAGGAAAATGAGCACAGAGTGGCACATAGGATTATTTATACCTCCTATGTGGCAGAATAGTGGAAAAATACGTTTATTTTGTCCTGATGGATTTATCTGGTGACACGGTGGGGAAAGCGATGCCTGTCAAAGAATTTTCTTTCTAATAACCCCGTGACATTTTTGTCTCAGACTCAAAACTGGCCTCTTTTGTCATAATAGAGGATTCTTTTCTATTCATATCCTACAATGTTAAAATGGATTCAGAGAAAAATACAGTTATCTGCTCTCAGACAGAAAAAGGATGAGAAGCTAGATTAGAGCAAAAGCCACAGTGAGGTCAATAAGCTCTGAAAGGAGATAAATGTTCATCCGCTCACCTGTCAGCTGCCGGATCAGCGTGGCCGTCAGCTCAGACCCGTCTTCCTTCAGATCCAAATCCTTCAAACCAAACGAGTCCATCACCGAGGCGAGGGAGACAGGCGCTGAGGGGGGACTATGCTTTGGCGGGACTTTGTTTCCCTCAGCTAGGAACCAGAGAGGAAAAACAGTTAGCAACCTGTGGCACGCAGTCCTGCGTTGGGCTGTGGAACAGCTTTGAGAGAAGTGAACACGGAGCCTCTGGGGATCTCTGCCGTCTCACCTGGCCGTCGGTGTCCCTGCGATGCTCTGAGGTATTTCAGCGCCCGCTCTGCCGTCTCCTGCTCCATCTTCCTCTTCCTGTCCGGCGCCTTCGGCCCCTCCCCTTCTTCTCTCCCCAAATCGTTTTCTGCATTCCTCTTGGAGGTCAAAATGAGATCCAGCAGCTGCTGGATCTAAGCAGCAAAGACAAACACACCAGTTCACTGATCTGAGAAGGTGTACGGGAGGAGAGTCGATCGCCCCAAAAGCTTACGACTGTTTGTCACCTTTTGGTCGCTGGAGGGCTTCGCTCTGTTGTCTGGAGTCTCATTCTGGCTTCCCCCCCGGTTCCTGGGCCTGAGCTCCTGAGGTGGCTCCGGACCGCAGTGGGCCTCCACCACCTCCTTGGCCCGGGCCACCGACAGCAGGTAGAAGGTGGGACTGGACAGGTAGGAGAGCAGGTAGCTGTCCATGTTGCCTCGATGGTGCTTCGGAGGGGAAAAGAGCTGGGCCTGCTCGTCCGGTTTGGAGTCGTACTCCGTCATGGGGTACTGCCGCACCTGAGAAGCAGAAGACGTGATCAGCCGGAGGCCTCGAGGTGGGGGAAGTTGCTCCGGACGCTCGCCGTACGCTGCCGTCTTTCAAGCCGTTGAGGTATTCCCGTGTCTGGAGCTCCACACCCAGGGAGAGCTTAGGAGGGGGGCTGGCCCGAGCTTTGACCAGAGCGTGGTGCAGCGCTGGGATGAACTCGGCCAGCCGCAGCATCACCGGGCCGCCGGGCGTCCAAGAGTCATGGGAGAGGGAGGGACGCCTCGCTGCTACATCAGGGACATCCCAGAGAAAACGAGATCAATAATCAGCTCCAACCACAGCCTCAGTGTGAACTTCACACTGGGTATTATAACCTAATAACACTGCGTAGTAAACATTATTTATGCATCAACCTTTAGAACACAGTACAAAAAACACAGTAAAAAAAGAATTCTGAATTTCATTGGACAAATAATTAATTAATGTTTTTGTTTGAGGGAAATTTTAATGCAAAAGTAATTATTACACAGAAAAAGGGTTAGAGTACGGTGTTGACGCTTAAAAAATTGTTATATTTATAAAATATCTTTGAAAAAAATGTTTATTATATGTTCATATATAAACATATTTATATATATATATATATATATATATATATATATATTCATCTACATTATCTGTATCTTTTATGAAAATACTTTGACGAAAACGCAGATCACTGTTTTCTAAAATGTTCTGACTTTATTCTAAAGAGCTCCAGCTAAAGTTGGAACAAATGCAGCTCATTTACAAACTCTCTCCGGGGCTGGGCTCAAAGAAATTTGTAAAGCAAATAACCAGCCAGAAAACAAATTCTGGGCTGTCCGAATAATGGAGCAACACCGCTGATCAGTTGGAGTTGGCCACATGAGCAACTTTTACTCTGTGGGGATAAATGAGATGGAGTATCTATGCTAGCCAGCAACATTTAAACATCCGAGTTAAGGTCAAATGTATTTAATAAAACAACAAAGCTGCCCACAGTCCTTTAAAGAAAAAAAAGGATTGTAGAACACACAGATAAAACAGAATGTAGTAGCTAATATTTAAAGGCCAGTGGCTGCAAATGAGTAGTCAAGGTTTTACAAGCCGCATCAAAGGGAACAACTAGGGAAATATTTAATCTGGAGCCCCAGGACAACAGGGATATTTTATTTGTCCTGTCTTTGTGCTTAACTAAGACAGGACAAATGTGTAAAAGGCGAGGCCGGCTTGTTTCAAACTATAAAGAATAAGCTTTCAAATAAAATATCAAAATCTACTCGACAATGGACAGAAAGCCAGTGGGTAGATGCTACAACTGGGGAAATATCCCCAGGTTTTTCTGGCTCTGCTTTAGACACCAGTTAATGAAGAGCTGCTCTGCCATCCGTTCAGATGAACGACTCACATCCTCAGACAAACCCGCCCACCCCCGTGTTACTCACCACATCTGGCCACATCTCTGGTCTCAGGAAAAACAAACAAGGCCTGGAGACACCTCCTCCAGGTCTCTCCTCGCTCTGAAAACACAAGCAGCAACCACATTTTTACTCTTTATGCATCCAAAAAACAAACAAACTAACTCAAATCTTCTGGGGTTTTTTTTATTGCAATCTTTTGAAGATTTGAAAGATGCTATAATGAATCTCTTTTTATAACTTTTAACCATTTAAAAGCATCTTGGTTTTAAACACACTACTTCCATCACAATCAGAGCACACACTATTGTGGCCATAAGAAACAAAAAATATATATATTTACAGATATCTAACAAAAAAAAATCTGTTAAATAAATATTTTACTTTGTTAATTTACGATCCCACTATAAACTATATATGTGTACTAAAGGAACAATTACACTTTGTGGAGAATCCACAAGGCGTCATATAATCATTAATACAATAATTAAGATGTTTTTTAAAACACACATTTTCAAATTATTTAGATTATTTGCAAAATGTGTATATTGCTGCACATTGTGTGCTGTCATGATGAGAACAAACATCAGTGAACACTTATTCTGTCATGCTGGAGGTGTCATGTTAGAATAAACATATCAGAGGTAAACTGGCCTTGTTGTTTATTATGATCTAAACTGGATGTCTCAATGAATTCATAAATTTCAAGTGGATCGTATTCGTCATACCAGCAGGTGTTGCCATCTGAACGCTGGACAGCAGGAAGAGGAAGCCTCTATCAGAAAGTGGAGTCACCAGAACCTGAAGAGAAGACATCAGAGGCATAAAACCAATTCAACTCTACAACTTTCTTTCCATGTAAAAACAAAGACTTGTCTCAGATTGAAAGAAGGTCACATAATCTAGCCTTCATAAAATATGATGTACAGTATGCATTTCTTTCCAGCATGTTTAGATATCTTCTATTTTTTTAATAAGCTTAATTTATAAAGACACTTACATTTATTGGTTGCACTGAAACAATAAATAAATAATCATCTTGTAAACATGCTCAAGGAACGCAGCAGAACATACAGGAACATGCGAACACTTCTTCAAACCACCTTTTTGTACCTAATCTACTCTAAAAAACCTCAAGGAGTAACTGGAAGCGTAATGTTTATATTATAAAGGGAACGACGGCGGGTCAGGCTAAAGAGTTGAAGGGAGAACCCACCGCTCCGTTCATCTCCAGCTCCTGCAGCAGTTTGGTCACACTGGTCATGGACCTGTTTCTGTCGGTCACCTCCAGCAGGCTGCTGCAGTGGCCCTCAGTCACAACTGCACACAGAGGCACACAAAAGCACACACTCACACAAAGCCAGGCCACAGCTTTTCAGCTCCTGAACTGACTCAATCCATGTGAATTTCCTTTTTTTTTTTTAAAACACAAAGCCGCTGACATCTGCAACTTTATTCCAAAAGTGTCCCCAAATGCAACATCCCAAAAGGGGTGCTCACCTTCTTGGCTGCCTTTGTAGATATTGTAGGAGAACAGGCCAGAGGGGAGGAGCTTGGTCACTTGGTCGAGCCTCATTGGATGCCCGATTTCTAACTTCTCTGGTCTAAAGGAGACAAAAGCAAATCCTTTAAGAAATTGAGGGAACACTCTTTTGAGTTAAACTTGTGTGTAAATGGTTCAACAAACTAATCTGTTTAGAACTATGGAGATAAAGTTATTGATTAAAGTTCATTCAAAGCTCTGTGGATAAAAAGTGAGAGGAAACTTTCTGCTGAATGAAAATACAATAAAAATATTTATTTTCCGCCAACTTTTCTTCAACCTCAAACAGTAACTCACAGATTACCTGCTTCATCCATCTCTTATCTCACCTTTTTACCTTTGTGATGCTGTGGCCCATTTCCTGTGACCGCATCTTATTTCAGTTCATTCAGAGAAAACACATCGCCCGGATTTAACCGATCGCCTTTTAGTGCCTCTCTTTTGTTTCTACTAAATCCTTCAAAATCAATAATCCCTTTATGTTCATTCAGCTGGTCATCTGACCACATTTCTGGGGGTCTGAACCTGACAGAAAAAAGGTTGCGTATAAACTGGAAGACGATTTGGAAAAACAAATTTGCTTTGGCTGATTCTCATCAGACTCAAAGACTCTCACAAAAGCTGAGAGATGAAACTGTGAACCTCTGTAAACTACTCACAGCCTGTGAGGCAGAAAGGGACAAGAGCTGGAGCGAAGGCAGATCTGGAAGAGAACCCGCTTCTCTTTCACCAAATCTCCGGTCCACACGGTGAACTCAGCACAACCTGATGGACAGTACAGAGTGAATCAACGTTTCGTGGTGTGAGGGGACCTTTTACCGAGGCTCTAAACGGGGATCAGGTGGACAACTGTCAGAAAACGCATGTGCCTTCTTACCTTTACTGCTTTCCGTTGACTGACTGTTTAACCTGTCCAGCAAATAGAGGAGAGCTCAGTTTTTTTTTTTTAGAGCATACACACACCCGGCTTCACTTTACACTGAGCCGTCTTACTTCAAATACATTTGATAGAACACGCTATTTAAAAAAGAATAGAAACTAAAATTGAGTGTAGTAAAACTTTCCAGTTGAGATGCTCCACATTTAACACCCAGTCAGGGTTTGAGCTGCGTTTCTGGATACAGCAGAACCTCTACTTACTATTTCCTAAACATACGAATTTTCCAACATACGAAGTGAAATTCGATCAAATATTCGACTCGACGCCCGAAGTAATTCATAACAAAAAAAATCAATATAAAAATGTAAGAAAAATAAATTAGCTAAGTTGGTTTAAAGTTCACGTAGTGAAAGTGAGGGTATGTCCTGTATCTTAGTCTCCACCTATGCCTCCGTTCTTCAGTCTCTGAGGTGCCAATAAAAACCCTTTTTTATTGATTATTTCTTTAGAATTTATTTCTTTTTAAATCTCTATCATATAATGAATTTGTTTTATTGTTATGTGTAATTATCTGCAATATTTATTAAGGAGTTATTGTTGGTTTTTGGGCTGTGGAACGAATTAGCTGAATTACAGTGTATTCTTATGGGAATATTTGAACCAAAATACGAATATTTCAACATACGAAGTCGGTCCTGGAACGAGTTAAATTCGTATGTATAGGTTCTGCTGTATGTGATTATGATACGCTGAAATAACTAAATCCCATTTCAAACGCGCCAGCTCTGCTTACCTGATGGGAGCAAGAGGTTTGCTGGTGATTTGAGCGTCCTTCCCTTTGACCTGGAAGGAAACCACGGCGTAGGGACACGCCTGGCGCGGCCGCTGCCGCAGCTCGTCGAAGAAGTACTCGTAGAAGTATTGCTGGGAGACAAAGTGCGTCACGGGTTGGGGTTAACTCTTTTGGGCGGAGGAGAAAAAAGCGACTCTTTCGGTTGAGCCTCAAGGGCTCAATTTCTGGGGCAGAAATTCAATTTATGCCGCAAAAGCAAAGCAGAACAGACCGAAACGATCTCAACAGATAAGCAGCAACACAAGTCATTCTGGAAAAAGTCTTTTCACTGAGTTCCCATTCAGCTGAGGCTGCTTTTTAAACAAAATACATAATTTGTGTCAAACAGCATATAAAAGATCATATCCAGCCACAAATATCTATCAATTTCCATGAAAAGCAAAGGAAATATTAGACAGAACTGCAATTCTGTTCACAAAATCAGTATGAAAATAGTATCCGAAGCTGCATCAAACGCAGTCTTTGTTACAGCTTGCAGAAATGTCTGCTCCCTTTTTTGCAATATTTAAAAGAACTCCGGCTTGAACCGGAGCCCAAAGAGCACCCTTTTCTTACCTGTGTGAGTTCGAAGGCGCGGTAGCACGTGAGCGAGGTGACTTTGCTGGCGTTTTTGGAAATGTGGCTGTCGAAGCGGGGCGTGGGGTCCATGAGATTCTTGATGTTTTCATAGATGCTTTTAACTTTACCCTGAAACCAGAAACCAGATAAAATGCCACTAAATAATCTGATTTTTCTCCTATTATTATTCTATCGAGAAAAAACAACAAAGAGAAATCTGTAGCTGTAGAGTCTGACAACGGTTAATCTTAAAAATGTCAAACTCGACTGTTGGAAAGCAGCAGTTCATCTACCTTCATCACTTTAAAGATGATTATCTCCCCCGTGGTCCCCGGCGTTAAGGGGTTCATCTGCAGCAAGTCCGAATACCTGGACAGATAAACTCCTGGCAACACAAATAGAAACACACACCCAGAAGATCAACGACCGCCAGAGGTTCCTTCTCATCCCAAAAGCACTTCTGTGTGCACATTAATGGTTTGGTTTACAGCACCATGTGCACTGTTTGTGTCTTTTTTACTACGTTGACAGCAGCCTGTGAACATGAATGGCGAAGCGCTTTGTGGCCTGCTCTGAAATAATCTCATAAATCACCTTTGTTGGGGTCTCCCAGCACCGTGATCCTGCTGTGACCCACAACCAGCCCCTTCTCGCAGAGGAAAGGCAGCTACAAGAATAAAAGAGAGAAAAAGTCAAATAAAAACATGTGACCAGACACGAAGGACATCAAACATGTTTCAGCTGTTGGTTTTTTGTTGGAGGAAATCATATCATTTATGTCCTACATGCATTCAGTCATGCTGGGATTTGATCTTATATTCGCATTTTTCACATCAGGGATATTGACAACTGTCAAGTTGATTGACTAGGAGAAAGAAAGTCTGTCATAGAATAAAAATGAAAATAAAACAAAGTGCTGGAAAACTACTGCATGAATTGTCCGGATCCCACCGAGACGTCAGTGGGCGACCTTACCTCTGCGGTGTTAGCCAACAGGAAACAGTAGCTCTCCTCAAGCTCCTTCTCTGTTCTCCCCTCGGACTTCATCTCCTTCCTCTTCTCCACAAACTGAAACGCAGACGCACAGATGAGAGTCTGACCGGACCTCAGGTGGGGGCGCGCTTCCAGAACCTGCTCCCACTCACCTCCTTCTCCAGCGGCTCGCTGTGCACAAGGCGAGGTTTGGAGTAGGTAAAGCAGCTGGCCGAGTTGGTGTCGATGAAGCTGGAGGTCAGGACGGTCTTCATGTCTTCGTACTCCCTGGACTCCATGGAAACGTGCTGAAAGAGGGCTGAAAGAACAACAACGGAGACGCGTCAGAGCTAAGCGTTTCTCTCTGTGGATGGAAACCATCTCGATCTCAGTACTTAGTCAGGATTCGTCACTAAATTCATCATTAAACACAGAAAAAAGAAAACACGTAAATACAATTTTTTGGGTTGAAAATGTGCTGCAGTGGACCGAAACCTCAACATGTGGACATCACCTGTGCAAAGTTTTGTCATCATTTCTGGTTTCTGTAAGGCGTTTCCTGACATTAGCTCTTATTACATGTGCACCACAGTACTGGGGGGAAAAATGCTTCTCACAACCACCATAGATCAGGTCTATATGGGATATAGCTTCTTAAAAACATACCATATTTTATGTCAAAACACTTGAACATTTTACATAAGTGAAGCCCAGCTGGGGGTAAAAATGACTGAGACACTCTTCCATGTTTGAGGCTTGTGAAGAAACAATGTTAAACTTTTTTCTAAAAATCCACTGGACAACAACGCTCATCAAATGGGTCGACTTTTTAAAAGTCTCATTCCTGTTTGATGGGAATGGGAAAAGCGCTGCATGTCTTTTGTGTTGCTTTTAGCCTGAATGAATGAGCATTCAGTGTGCTCGGCACAAAATTCTCAGGAGATGACAAACGCTGCAGCAGGCGTCTTCTTCTGGGCTCAGAGGGGGCATAACACTCCTCACAGGTGGTGTGTGTGTGTGTCTGTGTGTGTGTGTGTGTGTGCGCAACCTGCTGCTCTGTCTACGCTCATGATGCAACACAGGCTCAACTTTACCTGTTATCACTCATAGCATGTTTTTTTTTAAACCAATTTACACCGTAGAAATAAAGAAATAAGCAATGTTTTATTCCAAAAGTATGAAGTCCCTAATTACGCTTACCTGAAAACACTGGAGATTTAAAAACTTTTAACAAGTCTGAAGCAAAACAAGGCTCTTTAAAGAACAAAGAGCTAAAATTACAATGAGAGCTTATAGGTAGCGACGACTGTGTGATAACTTTTTCGGAATAATTTGAGTTTCTAAACCATTTTGGGTCATTCTTTCAAACCATTTAGCCTTCAAGGGCATGAAAGCAGCAAAATAAATTTGATCACTAAATCTAGAAGCGTTTGTAAAAACACGTGAAAAATTTGCCTTGAGATGCAAATGCATTGAGGCAGAAATGGAACGTCATCAAAGATTTGAAGCCCAAACAAACGTCAGCAACAATCAAGCTGAAAGTATCCAGTGTGCTTCTGTTTTGCTATGTAGATCAGAATAAAGTCAAAAGGAAATTACAAAAGTAAGAAGTACATTTTCTCTGGGAACCATCCAATATACTCAATATGAAATAAAATCCCTGTACCAGTCACAACACTGTCCAAACATTTAAAATGATTGCATCTGTTAAAACTGGTGATGTGCGCATTTGATCTGAAATAAAGTGTAAATGCCAGCGAAAACTGTTATGAAAAACAGGATTAATCTTCATTCCCTCCTCTGTCTTAACCCTATCAGACAGTCACAGCTTGCATTTCTGCGGGTTTTTGTGCGGTTTATATCCGCCTGTGGAAACCACCTGCGGGAGAAATATGTGGCCCAACCCGTTTACTTCTAACCTTTAAATGACAGAGAGGCATTTGCTGAACATCAGGCACTGATAACACTGTGGATTTGGTTGCAAAGCCATACACAACAGCTCCACGGTGTAGTGGCAAACGGCCATAATGAAGCAGATGTTTGTTTTTTTCTGTTTGGGAGCAGGATTCCCCATTTTCAGGACTCCATTGTGGACCTTTCGGTGGTGCTTATCAGTGCACTCAGGCTTCTTCTGAAGGCTTAGGAGACTTCTCCTTTGACAACAACATGACAGGAAGGGCATTAACTAACACAATCAGCAGAACTTTGTTGTGGGTTTGCCCTTTTTAGTTCAGTCTTGTCCGATGATTAATGGTTAACTGAACTTGGCAGGTGCTGCGCACGGCAACAACGCTGCACACCACACACTCATTATCGCATACCGAGGGCTCTTCTTTTTATGGTGACAACTCAAAACATCAGCATTAGCATATTATTTTTAACGATATTGAAAAAACAAACCAGAAAACGTACTTGCTGCTGCCCTGATGAAGTAGGAAACTACACCAACCCCTGACTGACATCATACGGAGTTGGGATTCGAGCTGTTTAAGCAGCAGTCACGGACCTAAAGAAATTATTATAGTTGCTTTTATTTCAATTGTTTTTTTATGACCTGCACATCTGCTGCATGGTAAAAAAAAAAAAATCCAATTCATGAAACCAAAGCCTCATTAAAACATATACCTACTTAAGCTTCCTTGTTACTTCCTGGTTAGTGATATGGTTCACTAGCTAGTAATCGGCAGCATAATATCTGACCTTTCCTCGGCTGTCAAAGGTTTGATGGGTTTATTTTACAACAAATGCAGAACAAATTGTTTCAATCCAAGGAGGACTTGAAACACAGAGGGGACTAAAATAAAAAAACCTAACCTAACCCTAACTGAAGAATTGGATATTTGAGTGCAATACAGAGAAAATGGTTTTAGGGAGAAGCTGCACATATTTGCACAGAGGAGGGAACTTCTGATTGTGAGATCAGGACATAATCTTGGCGTGTGTTTCAGTTTGAGCCAGAATTGGTCTGAGCAGGTACAAAAATCTGATTGACGAAGGTATTTCCAAAAAAGACATTAGATCACATTTAAAGTTAGATTTAAAGCCTTCCATTAATAGGAAACTAAAGGATCTATAGAAATCCTGGGAAAGTGGGGGGTAAAAATGTGATGTTTTTGTTTTGATCTTTCTAAAAGTGGGAGTTACCCAAACAGCTTTTCAACAATCCTGAGCTCTTCAGACGTATATTCCATAAATCCACCTCGGGTCTTTTGAGCCTTCCTGCTGCCAACGCTCTACACATCTCAAACTCACATCCTGTCACAAGTGATCTGAATAAGATATATAGGTGCACCCGCTTCTTGATTGTTTAATCAAATGTAAACACCATCCTTCCTATTTTGTTGAACCAGACCAGAAAAGAAGTCAAAGAAAACTTGATATTCAAGACAACACATAATCAATCTAGACTTAATGATCATGACAGCCCCATACAGCAGACAGATGGAAGACAAGTTCAATGGAGGAATGCTGTGTTTCATGTCTATGAAACGGGAGCTGTCAAGCTAAACGTCAGATGTTGACAGGGGTTAGGCATAGCAGAAAATTATACTGAGGTAAGAGACAACTTTGGGCTCAGATTAACTAAAGAAATTATCCCAAATTCCTTCAAATTTAACCTCAACATGCCAACAATTTACGAGTAGTTTAACAAGTTTATCAGCTACGCCCAGCAAGAGCATCGGATTTATTAACATGGATCATCTGCTACAGTCCCAGATTATTAAAAGAGACAAAACAATCATTTAAAACCATTTTAAACTGTCCAGTACACATTATGTACATGTGGGGACCGACATGCTCTTCAGACTGAAACGTAAACATGGAGGCGGTTACCTGACTTTAGACGCTTGTTAACGGAAGTAAGCATCAACAATCTGCTGAATACCAGAATTACAGTCAGAAATCACCCTACAAAGACTTTCCATCACAGAACAATAATCCATAGTTTGTTACTAAGTGAATACAGACGCTGTGTGATAATTTACAAGCAAGTAATTCATGCTAGCAACTGCTAGCTATTAGCATTGGGACCAGCGTTTGCCGCTACATCTGAAACACTCAATCTTCAACAAGGCGCCTGGAAAAACTAAATCTTATTATCATTCATGTATCTGCCAGTTATATGTTTTTCGCTTGTACGTTTGTAAATATGTGTGTTGTTGTCCTCTGTAGCTTTGCTAACATGAAGAAATCTGAGATGTCAAAGAATGAATTTCCAGTTGTCCGATAATTGAACTCCTAGCCTTCAACAGTAACGTTCCATCTTAAAATTCAGCATTTTTAAAATAACTGTACAAATAAAATAAAAAACTATAAGCTAACTCAACCGACCTTTCTTTTCTTTAGTCTTCCTCGGTATGTGAAACTTCTTGGGCTCCATTGGCATATGCCTCTGGTGGACCTGCGGAGGAGTCGAGTTCCTCCGCTCCATCCTCCTCCCAGCAGAACTCCCTCTGCCCGCAGACGGGTGAGTTTCTCGGGCTGGGCTCAGCTCGACCACCTCGCCATCTTGAGCGCTAGCGTTAGCTCCAATGTCCGCGGCGGCAGACTCTCTTCTCGGGCGACAAGCCTCCCTCCTGAAAAGGATGTCGTCCATTGTGCGATTCTCGACCAAAGTGACGGGTCGCCTCCGAAAGGTCCGTCCTCCACCGCTTCTGGGCGATGACACCGCTGTTACCTCCTGATCCCGCGGAGCTGGACAGCGAACCAGCACACAGCCCGCGCCATGCTTCCTGCGAGCCCGGATCTTCTTCAGGGAGACTCGGCTGCGGCGGGCTCCATAAATGCTGCTATACCGCCCTCTGCTGGACACGTGTGTCTACTACAGTTCCCACTCATTCATTCAGAAAACGGCATAAACACAAGCATAAAAACAAGCACCAGAAATTAAACCAACCATACATTGTGTCCATTGACTATTTTTAATTACTTCTTTGGAGCATTTCATAACATTTCCCCCCTGAAAAAAACATTTTTTCACAATTCACATTTACCAATCAATATTTTATGGACAATGCACGCACCTTAGTTTAGCTTTGTCTTCAACTCAATTGTTTCTTTTTGCAATCAACTCAGTGCAATATTCATTGATGTTTCTTTTGTAATAACTCTGTGCAATAATGTGTATATATATACTCTTACCCTGTATATATCTAGCTCTTAGTTATAGAAAATATATTTATTAAGTAGGAATAAGGTCTTAGCTCTGTCACACTGGTAGCCAAGTAATCGACATTTCGTTGTCAAGATTCACCTTGTGTTTTTTGTACAATGACAATAAAGGAAGTCTAAGTCTAAGTCTAGTCTAAGTTTATCAAAGTAGGTAATGATTTATAGGACAGTGGAGATTAATTTATGGTGGACTGAGAGCATTTATTATTATCTTGATACATCTTTGAAGAGAAAAGCCGTTAGTGATCAAGTCTTATTTGGATTACTGAGTTTTTGTTGTTTGCTTTAACCTGTTTTGTGTTGGAGACCAAGAGTCGGAAAATGTCAATTACTTAGTATGTCTTGCATGTATGTATTGCAGGATAGTTAATTAGTTAAAATTAATACATTTTAATAGTTAATAAACAGTTAATGAATATGAACTGTTATTGATAATTTATTAATAGTTAATAAATCTTAACTATTTATTAATAAATTAATAAATAGTTAACTAGTTAATATTAAAAAAGTGCTGCACAGTCGTTGATGACTACGGTCCGTGATGGTCACGCCGAGCATCTTGCTGCAGTCACTTTGTCTTCCCATATAAAGTTCTCTTTGTGACCACCAGTGAGGCTTAATTCAGACAGAATCCTTTCAAATGCAGTTTATTGGTTTCTTTGGTTCAGTGATATTCAACACAAAACGTAATACTTCAGCTAAGGATCGTCCGTTTTATTTTTACACAACAAAGAAAAGGGTTAAGTCCAAGAGCCATTTCATGACCTCTTTTGCAAATACCTCTCTTTTTTTTCTTTTCAGAGTTTGTTTCAATCGGTGGGTTTGATCAACTGCAATCCTCGTCTGCAATAAGCAAAGTCTTAATGCTCCATTTTTAATCCACGACTCATCTTGCGCTGGTATCAAAACGACAACATGCCTGACGTTCTTTCAACGTTCATATAAACATATATTTCATGTACAGTACTTTACATACATACAGTACAAACACAGTGGGCTCCCCTTTTAAGACTTTGTGGGTACACTGACAGCAGCTGGAAGCGCCTCAGTGTCACAGAGCGCTGAGGCCAAAAACTGCACACACAGATGATCAAAAGACGAGATTCACTTAAATTTCAAGTGCATTTGTGGAGCCCCAAACAGACTGCAAAGATCTGGGACACGGGGTTGCTTTCTACAGTGCTACAGACAAATAAAAAAAAAAGTAGTTTTCAGGAGGAGAAGAAGTTAGAAGACGCACTGAGGATGATTCTTCAACTGACCCGTAAAAGACAGCAAACACGAGCGGATCAAAGTTTGAATTAGAGCAATGTTTCATTGAGTTTTCACCAAATCTTAAAAATCTCAGCAGCATGTTTTCAGACTTTCTGCTGAGCTGCATCATCAGTATAGAACCTTTACACCTTGAATCTTAAACTTTAAAGTTTTTGTATTTTTATATCTTTATTTGGTTTATTTCTGAGTTGGTTCAGCTAGAAAAGTGTGTGATTCCCCTCTGAATTGTGTCGCCATGTGCTAAAGCATCATTTTCTCATTTAGAGAACTCCTGTGAACTGTGATGCCTCGCAGTTCACGTCAGTTTTCTGACATCTGAACTAGTTTCTGTGACATAAAAAGTGAGTTTCTGTCATCCGTTTTTGATCCACTGAGGTGTCGTGTCTTTAAATCGTTCCCCGCACCTGGAAATGTCACTTTGGTTTAGTTTCTTTCAGCCACGAAGTTTCTGACCTGAGTGGACCTTTGAGGAGAAAATCCAACTGGAAAGCTTGAAAACTCATTTGGATAAAGCACCTGACCACGTGCCTGTGTGTGTGGAGGCTGCTGGCTGCTCCTGGGTCTACTCCTGAGGGCTTAAATAAGTCGGTCCGTGTGCCGATAAGGACAGCAGATTGTTCACTTTGACTGTCTACTGGCTCCATCCTTTTATGGGTCCTGTTTGGTTTTGGGTCCAGGCATCAGCACCTGTGGGTCAGCTCCTCACAGTGGATCGAGTCAGTCTCACCGGTGTCCATTTCGGCCTCTTCTTGTTCCTCGGAGCCCCTCCGCTCGTGATCCACCACCTCCCCATCGGTTTGGTTAGGAGGCCGTGAAGAGGAGGGGGAAACGGGGGCGTTAGGATCCCCTGTGATGCGAGTTTCTGCTTCTCCGTCCATCCTCATGTCTGCTCTGGCTCCTGGATCCGCCTCTATCGGCCCACAGACAGCAGGCTTTGTCTCCGTCCCCTCAGCGGTCTTTATCTCACTGATTTCGCTGTCCACCGGTGACCCCCCATCTAATCCCCCATCTAACCCCCCATCTAACCCCAAACCCGTCTCACCGCACACATCCAAACCTGCCTCCACCTCCCCCCCGGCGTTTGCCTCTTCCATCACGCTGTCCTCCCTGACCAAACCAAGATCCTCCCCTTCGTCTAAACCTGCCTCTCCTTTCAACACCGGGCCGGTCTCCATTTCCCCCCACATTCCTTTCTCGTTCCCGAGCCCCGAATCGCTGCTCAGCCTCTGATCGGCCCCGTCAGGCACACCCGGCCGCCCCTCCGGCCCCGGCTCCAGACACGGGCCCGTCTGAGGGGGGGGGCCTCCCGTCAGAGCAGCGGCCTCTTTGGCGTTTCTGATGCAGTTGATCCACTGCTGTTTGTTGAAAGCGTCGCTGGCCTGGAAGCAGTGGCTCTGCAGCTGTCCACCTGCGCGGTACGAAACCCTGAAGAAGTTCTTGGCTATGAGGAGGAGAAATTGAAACAGAGACAAGACGGTTAGTAGAGGAAAAATGTTCACCTTATGGTTTCCGATTTTGAACCTGACTTCTATGTAACACACAATGTTGCATATTTTTATCTTGGATTTGTGAAGCGAGTGTCTTGTATATACAAAACTATGTGTATAAAACCAAACACTTCATTGAAATAACTCCATAAAAAATCAATCCAGATATTCTTAAATTGATGGAATAAAAGCTTGATTTAGTCAGATTTAGAGAATGTAGCAAGTTCACACAAAGGAAATAAAGTAAACAGACTCAAAATAAAAAAAAATCCTTCTATGTGGGGGTGTTGGAAATGTTCGGGTGTTTGTAGCCTCTTCTGTGCGTGTGAGGTATACTAACTTCGCTCGTTGTTGCTGAAGGCCCCCCGGATGGAGCCGCCCACTCTCATTTCTCCGTCCGACAGGTCCTCCAGGTCCAGCTGCCGGATGGGGATGGGCTGGCGGCAGAGCTGGTACCTCACCGGCTGGTTGTTCAGGGAGACGGATCTGGTGATGACCAGGATGTCCTGGAACAGAAACACGTGGAGCTTCTGGAAGAACAGAGAAAGAAACGCCAAATGCTAGTGTTACTTTCACATGGCAGGATCTTAAGCTCATTGGATACAATTTGCCCCCTTAAATTTCCATAAAAATTGCATTTTCAATAAAGCTTATGGGTCACAAATGTTTAAAGACAGTTAAATAAGTCAGATAATATTTAATTTATGGACGACAAAAATGATAAATGTAAATTATTCTGTTATATAACTGTTTATGTCACCTTTAAAACCCCATTGTAACAGACTCATATACTAAGAGTTATAGTAGTATAGTATAGTAGTAGTATAGTATAGTATAGTATAGTATAGTATAGTATATAGAAAATATACAGCAGTAATTAAATCTTGAGCCAAAAGCTGCACTTTGCAGCCAAATGTTTTGAAACTGACTAAAAACTGAGCTGAATATTTCAGCCTAAAGAACATAAAGACTTTGTCTGAATCGGCATTCAACTTAAAGACATAAAACAAAGACCAGATTTCGTTCCAAATGACCAGCCCTCCTCTAGTGTTAAACAATATCTTCTCAAATTTAAATAGTGAGGGGTTGAAAATGGTGACAGCTTTAAAGGTCGAGTAGTTCCATTTGAACTGTAAGATTAAGATGAAACGGCAATAATCTACTGACGAGTCCTCTGTTGTTCTTCAGCTCTCCGTGGCAGCTGAGGGTCTTGGACCGACCGATGAGCTCGTCCTTCTGTCCGTCCTCCGAGTATAAGAGGCGATCCTTGTAGTACTGACACTCTGACTCTCCGGTCTGTCTGTTGATGTCCGCCACGACGCTCTGGACCATCAGCATCTGCGGAGCCGACGCACCGGCCTCGTTAAAAAACCACCTAGCATGTGTGTAGCCATGTATCTGTACAATAAGTTACCGTAAACTTACAAGAACGACTCAAACACAAACGGATTCTCATCCTGCTCAGATCTAAAGCCTACAGTGGTATGAGACTACTAAAAGTGTACTAAAAAGATGCTTTGAATGTCTTTAACATGGTAGTTTTCACATCTTTGTGGGTGGGGGTCGGGATGGGAAAGGTTTATCTATTTATTTATTTATTTAACCTTTATTTTACCAGGAAGTCCCTTGAGATAAAATCTCTTTTTCGAGGGAGACCTGGTTGGTTTGTTTTGCTCACCGCTTCGTCCAGCAGCTGCCGGTCCGGGTGGTCGTTGGGCGTGTGCTTGAGGATTTCCCTGAGCAGCAGCGGGTACTTCACCAGCCGGCTGCGAGGAATGTCCAGGAAGTTCCAGAGGTCCAACTTGCGGCTGAACGGCGACTGGAGGCAGCGCTGCAAGAAGTCCTGCACCCGCCGGTCCTGCTTCTTCTGGTCCAGCAGGGCCTTGGCTTTCACCTGGTTGCTGCAGTACGGGGTGTAGGAGGACAGGCAGGGCAGCTGTGGGGGCCACAGAAACAGACGCCATCTTGACACCGTTCAGCAACTAATTCTGCATTGAAAAACCAAACAAAAACAAAAAAACACTCACCCAGTCCGTCAGTATGTGTCCCACATTTTCTGTGGACCCGTCGGGTTTCCTGGCGTCTCTGAGGTGGCTGAGAAGGTCTGAGGAGGAACGGGATGCTTTATTATGAAGCTTGGGGTTCAGACAGGCCCTGGTTTGACTCTGAGTGAGGATATTTGTTTGAGGTATTTCCAGCATGCAGCCCTACCTTCATGCAAAGGGATCAGTGACTCCAGAGTGCCAAAGATCTGGTTCAGCTCCTGCTCAGTCATGATGGACAGCTTCAGCATCGGGTCATGGTAGGCCTGCAGCACACACACACACAAACACACACAAAATTACAACACACTGAAGCAAAAACAACAACAAAAACAGAACAAGAAATATAAGAGGATCGTTTCTTCTTCAGGAAAAATGATCTTTTTTTAGCTTTTTTCTTACCTTCTTGGCCAGTTTAAGATCCTCTACCAAGTCCTGCTCTCCTTGAGCCAACTCGAAAATAGCCTGCAGTGGACAGGAATATAAAATAGAAAAAAACTCTGTTAGATCAAAGCTATTGGAAGACGGGACGATAACGCCGAACTATGTTTATGTTTCTGCATTTAGACGCTTTTATCCAAAACGACTTACACAGTAGACACAATGTTCCAGATCTCATTAATATGACAATAAGTTCTCTAGAGGAAAACCCCCAATCAGAGTCAGTGGAGACAGGAGGACATAAGAGGGAAGCTCAGAAAGAGGAGTAGAGGGTTACAGAAGTCTGGGGAGGAGTTAGGATAGGAGATGCTCTGTGGAGAGGGGGGTCTGGAGGAGTTTTCTGAATGACTAAGTTAGCATTTAGCTGGGTTTGTGACCGAAGGGCAGATGAAGCGTTCACCTCCTGTCGCTTTATCTCCTTGGGGCTCAGGGTCTGCGTGGCCCCCAGCCTGACGTCGAACGTCTCGCTCCACAGCTTGCTGTCGCGGCGCTTCGACGTCAGGGTCGCCGCCGTGGAAACCCGGGACGCCGTCGTGGAGGACGAGGGGTTGGAGACCGTCGCTGAAATGACCCGCGTCTTCATCGTGGAGGAGGAGGAGGAGGAGTAAGGAGGAGGAGGAGCTGCTCTGTCTTGCCGATTCTCGTTGCGAAAACTGATGGAGCGCTGCAGACATGGAGGCCATTAGGAACACATCTGGAACATCAGCATCCAGGATGAGAAGGCTTCCATTTCGCAGCTTGCAGTAAAACGGGCCTTTATTTTAGCCTCAGGAGCACAGGGCTAAGATTTGGTCATTTATTTATTTTTCATTAGAATTTGAAATTCATGAAGAAGGGTAACAACAGTTTCAAGCCTCATCTCACCTGAGGCAACCAATGGGAGCTCAGAATCCCAATAATAGTCTGCAGCTTAAATCTTTTAAATTCTAACTCACTTTTAGGAGATTTCACCAAGTGGAGAACCATAGCTGTGCTAAGCACCTCCTTTCTTAGAAGAAAAGCATCAGGTATTCAGACTTAGTTGGTTTCAAACCAAACCCATCAAACAAACAAAGGATGAATTCATTCAAATGAATGTGAAAACAATCATGTATAGGTCTATGAAGAGAAAAGCGCCGCCTAACTGACATCTTTAAATATAAGGCACAACAAAAAACCATGAGAGCAGTGGCCCACCTGCAGGGTCTGACCAATCCTCTTCAGCGGCGTGGTCTTGACGGGCGGCAGCAGGCTGGCCAGAGAAGTGACCCTGGATACGGGCTTACTGCGCTTGGTGCTGGGCTCCTGGAGGAGACGGGACCAAAAGACAAGCTCTTAGGATGAAGCCAAAAGCTGGTCAAAGGACTTAAACTGATCAAGTGTGCTTAAAAGCAACTAATCCTGAATCATAGGGCAATAAGGAGGTACAATACCTAAGACATGGTGTTATCTAATACCGTATATAGGTTATAAAACTACCGAAGCCCAGAGTTGACATAAAGAACATTTACCTCTCCCTTAGAAAACCCCTGAAAGACATGCCCAGTGAGAAAATTTTGGTTGGTTTCATCATTTGATTTGATAACTGCAAGTTTTGTTCTTTTTTTTAATTTTATTTATAATTGTTTTTTTTTTTTACTCTATGGCCCCTGTGGGCAAACAAAAAGAAGTAAGATTTATGTTTGTTTCTGTAATAATAGTTTCTGCCACAAGAAGGAGTTGAACTTACATTTACAATAAAAATGGTCTGAATAAAGGAAGCCACTACACTACACTTCTAATTTCTGTCCATTCACCAAACAAGAAAAAGGTAATTTTGGCCTGAATTTGGGTCTTTTACATTTCTTACAATAGAAGAAAAAAGTCAAATTCATAAAACAAGTCTGCCTCCTGATAAGAGAGTGAATTATCATATTTCTTTCGAGTTAACAATGATGAGAAAAATGCTTGAAGCGCAGACATAGTTTATTTAATTTTGTGCCATCAGTAAACAACTTGATGGAGGAAATGTTTTGCTTACAGTCTGAACGGTCCGAAGCCCGTTATTTTTAAACGGCCGCGTGTGTCCTGGTGGCTGAGTATTTATGGGAAAGTCGATTTCAGTTTATTCAAATAATGCTTATCAAACAATACCGTGACTCAAGCTATTCTTCTCTCTGTCAGACTCTCCAACACAGACATTCTGTCATCACTTCGCAGAACATTACTCAGATTTACAGCACCGCGGTTTCAGACTACACAATGCTCTACTAGATAAGACATAGATTCATGCCCTGACCCTACAGATACAGTGGACTTTCGGGAATCGGGATGGGCTGATGGGTTGGATGGAAGACAAAAAAGATGCTCGACACAGCCAGGAAAAAATGGAAAAGGTGAGGTTTATACAACAAAGCGAAGATAAAACCAGGAAACAGAAAAAGGGAGGCAACCTCATAGATGAGTGTCTTGGCAAAGGCAGAATCCCGAAACAAAACATGTGTAAAAATCCAGGAATCAATTTATAAATGTATCTGGGAAGAGTCTGAAAGCCTATACTTACAAGAAATAACTTGGCAGATAAAATATTACAAGCCGGAGCGCAACGGAAAAAGGAGTTTACTTAAACCTTTTAGGAAACAGCCTTTCAGTCTAATCACAGCAGGAATCTTTTACTTAACAGAGACCGTCTTATCTAACCAAGTGTTGTGTAGTCTGAATCTGGATTACTGTAAATCTGAGTCATGATGGAGAGAATCATGACTTTCAGTTACTTTTATTGTTCACAGATAAATGACCGGGTCTAAAATAGAAAGCAGGTGATTAGCAGACATAGGTAGGGAAAGTTAGAAAAACAAATCCATGTGCAACGTACTTTAAGGGTAAAACAGGAAGTAGAAAAAAAACAAAATGAATTTGGAGTCAAACACAGTTTAAAGATAAAAGTAAACTAAAACAATGTGAGTGACCAATGAGTCTGACTTTTTAGGACTAAAAACACACATTTCTGGTAAAAGTTTGGGCCCCCATCTGCTTTCAGAACTGCCCTAACTCTTCGGGGGACATTTTCAACAAGGTGTTGCAAACATTTACCAGAGCTTTTGGTCTAATTGACATGGCGGCATCGCACAGCTGCTGCACATCTGTCGGCTTCATGTCTATGATTAAACTCTCCCATCCGGCACATCCTGAAGCTGCTCTACTGGACTGAGATCTGCTGAGATCCCCCCCCATCGCACCACCACCAGCGGTCTGTGTGCTGATGTAACAATATGGACTCATATAGATCCATGCTTTCATGCAGTTTCAGACACGACTGTCCAAATGTGGCAGCTTAAATCAACTCGTCACATCAGGAAGCGCTCCTCCAGTCCTATACTGTCCAGTTCTGGTGACTCTTTGAACTGTGGTCTTAGTCTCCAGTTCTGAGCTGGCCGGAGTGGCTGAGAGGTGTGAGAGGTTGTGCATTAAAAAGTACCAGTAGATCAGGACTTTCTGAAATACTTGGAGCAGACCTGACTCTGTTTGACCTCCAGCAACTTGTCTAGACCGGCTCTACATGACTAAATACACGGATGTGATTGGCCGGTTAGCTATTTGTCTTAAAAAGCCACGGAACCGGCGTAGCTAATAAGTCTGTAAAAGCATCACATGGGACCAACACGATACAATTCAACAAGGCCAATTCAAACTAACAATATCAAACCAAGCCAAAGAATAAAATAGGATGCTAAGACCCGTTTTCCACCAGGACACATCGTCTCTGCCTGTGCGTGAGTCTGTAAAAACAAACCAAAACGGTTCAAACTCTTTAACTGCCTTTCCACTGAGGGATGTCAGGACAGTTCTCCTCTATTTGCCCCGATCAGGATTTCTTTTTCCACTGTGGTGTGGGATCCATTAGACCCAACATCATCTAATATCTAATTGATCTGTGAGATGGAGCCGATACGGCCGGGCTGCAGCCAGAGTTCTGATGCTAGCTTCTTCCGATACTACAAAACGGCCTCTTTTATTCAGTAGGCTTCACATCAACCCAGGAGAGCCAGTTTCCGGTCCTCGTGAGTTGTTCTTGTTGTTGTACAGGGTCCGGCTCTCTGTTTGAAACTGCCACCAGGCTGATCATCCTGGCTGGATCGACATTTAATTAAGTTGTGTGTGTTCTGGGCTCTGCCTGCAGCTCACAGTCAGCTGACCTACTGGAAAACGCGGACGGTCAAACTCCTGTTTTGATCAGCGCTCACAGTCAGGAACCAGCTGATAAAAAACAAACCGACCTCTATAAACCACCCAAAGAAGGCCTCAAATCCAATCTTTTGAACCACAACTGACTCATTTTCCAAAGTTATGAGCGATAAGTCTCAACAATAACTTTTATTCAAAGAAGGTGAGCCTTTTTATAAAAATTGACCTCTGATATCTATCTATTAAACCCATTGCAGATGTTTTAAATGATTTTTAGGGTTCCACGAGGTTAATAAACCGTCCCTTTACGCTTGACGTGCTGTAATGGGTTCCTGTGTGTGATGGGGCTTCATCAGATTGAGTCTGACAAAGATCAATTCTGGGCTACCGTGTCAAAAATAAACATGTTCAGAGCAGAATGAGAAAACAAACAATATCAAAGTACTTTGACACGTTACCTGTGATGCCAACGAGAACATTTCTACACCCTGCATTTTCAGTGTTTTTTATCCTTTTATCCAGCAGATTCAAACTGTTGAAGGTGTCCAGATGGTAAAAATGAAGCATAAATTTATACAGAATGACACTCTGTTAGACTCTGTTATCTATTGAGCCCTTATAATGTTTATCTTGCAAAAACTTGACCCTTTCTTCTGATCTTGTGGCAGTATAGTAGTATAAGGGTATAGATATGAGCTACAGAGTTACAGAAGTTTAAACCAAACTTGTGTTTTTGAATCTGACCAAAGGAAAATGTGTGTTAAAAAATGGAAATAAAGAACCAGGGAGGAAGAGTAGAACAGTGAACCAAGCTGAGAGGATTAATAAGGCCTGAGGAACAAGACAGCTTTTTACCATCTTATTATTCTCTTCAAAGTGAGCAGAGGCTGTTTTTTCACGTAAAAGAAAGGGACTTTCTACCCAAAACCAAAGAATTTGGTATAATTTTGTGTTTTTTCTTGGCTTGATTAAGCTTTCTTGTTGGTTTTAATTGGTATTCGTTCTCTTTGAATTTGTGTAGTTTTGATTGGTCTCTTTGTCTTCAGTCAATCCTTTTTTTCATTTGCATTTTGTCTAAGACTGGACTTCCCATCTTGTTATTGATTCTCTGCCTTTCCTGTTTGAGTTTCAGCTGTTTTTTCATTTTATGTTTCAAAATTTCAACTTTTTCAGTGTAACATTTAAAATATACCAAAAACAAAATAGCAAAAGAACCAGATGACACTTGGTTGTGAAGCTTAAAGTGCCAGAAAAACAAAAAAAAAGTCATATCCCTGTGCTGAAATCATGACCAGCTAACTTATTTTGGTCCTGATGAACTAAAGCGGTCAGCCTCAGTCCCACTGCAGAGGGCAGCATACAAACAGAGGAGGCTCCACTTGTGCCCGTGAGAGCTCGAGATCTCATTGGCTGAGCTGTAAAGTTATCTGCAAAAGCATCTTGACAAAATCCAGACGACTGTCCCACCCATGCACACATAAATAACAGGAGGTGATCTCATTAAAGACGCAGGCTGAATATGCTCTCTCCAGAAAATGTGTTCTCTCCCGCGAAGTTCAGATCCTTTTTCTTTTTTTAAAAAGCCAACTGGTCAGAGAAATGTTCATGACTGAGAAAAGGTGCCCCAAGAAAGGGTTCTTTGTGGTTAATATGATGTAAGAAAAAAAAAAAAGTCCACCTCCTCTGCTTTTCACTGGTTGTTTGGTGCTTCTGCCCTGCTGACATTCAGTCATCCCCCTGTACGTGCATCCCACTGCACACTTATGATTAGATAGTTTTAATACAGAAGAAATAAAGAGATTTGTGCATCAAACTAACTTATTTTATGTTATTTTGGGATAATTTTATAACGTGTTGCTATTGATAGTGTATATGCATTTTATGGCAACTACATAAATAGAATTAGGGTAAAATTAAGGCAGATATATATATTATCTAATATATATTTGATGTGTTTAGAATTATTAATCAGATTATATAATAAACTAAATAGTCTGATTACTTTAGTTCAAATAAACTGGCTGAAACACGATCAAATCAGTTCAGTTTGGATAATTTCAGGAGATGGGTCAAAGATGAGAACGTATCAAACTGATTTAAACCAGGGTACAATACATTATGTTTATGTGTATTGTTTTCTATTAGATCTGATTATGTTTGGGTAGTTTTAAATGTTTTAAATGAGAACAGATTACCTTTAAAGAGATCAGGCTGTGATAGTCCAATTTAAATAGTTCTTAAATAATATTTTACTGCAGAGTCATGATGGGAAATGTGAAAAAAAAATCACAAGATAAACACGACTAAAGTCTACAATAATGAAAAATATAAATTAGATAGAGTATCTAAGTTCAAACGTATTAACACATTTACTCCCGGTGCATCCCAGGGACAAAAATCCAGGTGGTACTGGAGGGAAATCCTCCACCTGTTTCCTCGAACTGACCTTTGTGCTGCTCTCCGCTGTGAATCCAGAGTTAAACCGCTGCACCAGCAGGCCAAAGGGCCTCTGGCCCGCCACCATACTGGTCAGCCCAAAGCCTCGGGCAACACCAGGACTCAACCCAGTCCCATGAGAAAGTCCGTGAATATTTTCAGACTGCTGAGGTGTCGGTGGGAGAGGGGGCTGAAGCCCAGAAGGAGGACACGGACAGGAGAAAAGGTCCAGGGAACGTTTACGGTCCTGCAATTTGTAATCCCGCTTTTCGGTTCTGGCTCAGGATCAGAATCCAGGAAAAGCTGCTCGGAAAAACCCTGTTGGCACTATCAAATCAGAAAAAAAACAAGAACCTGCAGGAAATTTCCAAAGCCGGTTCCAGCTGTGGTGCCATCGGACGGTCGCTGGGAGCAGATTATCAGGCTGAGAGCCGGCAGAGTCCAGGGAAAGACCTCGGCTTTGGGCGGAGCTTCACGCAACACACACAACACACACAACACACACCACGACTGAGACCTGGGGCTGTCTGAGCTCAGGCCTACCAGCCTGCATGGAGTTGTTCCCGCCAGTGAGCCAAAGGGGGAAA